AATAATAATAATAAAATAAATAAATAAACACGCCCAAATAATTTCTGACAAAGGTGCAAAAGTAATGCAGTGGTGCTGTAGCAATTGTACATCCAGAGGCAAAACAACAAAACGAAAAAACAACCCCAAACTCTCAAATCTATACAAAAATTAACTTAAAATAGATCATGGACTTACATGTAAAACATAAACCTATAAAATAAAAAAATCTTTGAAATTTAGGACTAGCAAAGAATTCTTAGACACCAGAAGCACAATCCATAAAAGGAAAACTTGATAAATTGGACCTAGTCAAAATTTAAAACTTTTGGCTCTGTGAAAGACCGTTAAGCAAATGAAAAAGAAAAATCATTCTTCCATTCTCCCATGCCATTCATGCTGGAAACATCCATATAAACTCACCCAGATTTCTAAGTTACTCTATAGGAGAATCTTTCTCTACCAAAAAGTGAAACCCAGATGACCTAGAATATCCAAGATGTTAGATAGAGTATCTCTAGGTAAGAAAGGATTATCAAAGGCACTGATGCACACACACATTCCTAGCTTATCCCTGGATGAACCTTTTTCTTTTCTTTTTTTTTTTTTAAAGATTTTTTATTTATTTGAGAGAGAGACTGAGAGAGAGCATGAGAGGGGGGAGGGTCGGGAGGGTCAGAGGGAGAAGCAGGCTCCCTGCCGAGCAGGGAGCCCGACGTGGGACTCGATTCCGGGACTCCAGGATCATGACCTGAGCCGAAGGCAGTAGCTTAACCAACTGAGCCACCCAGGCGCTCATTTGACTAAACTTTTAAAAATGGTTGGAATTAAACGCAGAAGAGCATTCCAGGCTGAACCAGGGGCTAGGGCATGAGGAGTCTAAACGCACAGTGATTCAAGCGGGCTCCTGAGCAGAGCAGAGGGACAGAAGCTCTGGATGTGTAGCAGGATGAGCGGTACTAAGTGTTCTCCAAAGGAAGATCAGAGCAGGTAAAGAATGATCCCGAGAGCCATCCTTGAGAGTCTGTTCTGGATGATCCGCAGCCTTGAAGAAGGGGCTGTTACGCTCCCAGCTGCACTTCCACCTCTCAGTGGAACACACCGAAGTCTCAACATTTGGACAAGGAGCTCTGCCTAGCAGCTCCTGAAGAGGCGGCTGGAAAGCAGACCAGGAGCATCCCCAACCCTGGCAGTGCGCCCTTGCGCGGGTCATTAATTTGCGAGAACCTCCTTGGCAGAGCTGTGGGGAGGATTAAGCGCGGTACTGGGTCCCGAGTGTGGCCTCACTAACTTACTACTGGGACGATTGGGGAGGGTGGCCCCAGCGGTCGCTCCACGCCAGGAACCCGTTAGCCGGGAGGCGGCGGCAGCAGCGGCGAGAACTCGCGTCCGCGTCCCCGCGGGCGCGCGCGAGCAGCTGGAAGACTACACTGGGCACGCGGAGCTCCGCCACAGCAGCCTGAGACCGAGCGCAGCGCCCTTTCCCCTGATTGGGCGGGACCGGCCGGGGGCGGGCGGCGGACAAAAGAGAAGGCAGAGACGGGTTAAGCATGGGAAGAAGGCGGAGCCTTGTCAGCGAGGGAGGCGGGTTTTGGCTCCCAGTGGTAGCCCTGCCCCCTTGCCGCGTTTCGGGCCGGGGCTGGCGGCGCTGAACAGTCGGGGGCAGTTATTACGCCGTCTAGTCATCCCAGCAACCGGTGACGCGGCCTGCATGAGGCCGACCACTGGCCAGCCGGGGAGAGCGGGCCTGGAGCGGGACTCCCTACCCCGAGGCGCCTCCCAGCTCCCCCCACTCGGCGGCCGCGCGCTCCGCCAGCCCCTTCCTCCCTTCAACGCCCTAGTCCCGAAGTCCGGGAGGCGGGGGTCGGCGAGCCAGCTGAGTGGGAACCGCGTGGCGTACAAGGAGCCAGTCGGCGACCGGTGAGGGGACTGAGGGCTGGGAGGGCAGGGTTGGCGCGGGGCAGCGATCCCCAACTGTCGCCCGTCTTCTCCCCTCCGCTCCTGGGCGGCTAGCGTCTGCAGCTGTCGGGAGCGCCGCCCCGGCGACAAGTGACGCGGAGGCACGGCGGAACGTGCGATTGGTCGGTTCGCGCTCGCGGCCGCCGGGCGGCCTGCTCCTCCCGGGCCTTGCCCTCTGCCTGTCCTCCCCCGGCTTCCCCCGGTGACCTTCGGGGCCGGCGGCCCCACGACGCAGACATCGCCAGGCTAAGACGGCTTAAAAAGGGCAGTGTCAGGCTCCGTGGCGTTAATCGCCCCCGACTGCTCACTACGTTTTTGGTGTGCTGGCGCCAAGGGCGAGGAGCTGGGGTGGGACCGCGGGTGGGAAGTTGCGCCCAAGGAGAATCTGCCTAGCAACTCGTGACGACAGTTGACTGAGGCGCCCGGGATTGGCTGCGCTGCGACCTACTCAGGTGTGCGCCCTTTCCCGTTCAGTACCAGGTAACAAGCCTTAAACCGAGTAACCAGGCTCCCTGATTACTCCGAGAGCTCCCGGGGTGTGGCGTGGGGCTACAGAATGCCCACGCTGCTCTAATCATGTGAAGAAGGGTTCTTTGGGGGTCGGGGAAGGACTTAAATGTGCAGAACGTTTAGGATCCTTAAGGTAGAGGTAGGAGTCAGACCCTGTATTCGGGATCCCTCTTCAGAGGAACTGTCCTGAAGAGGGTAAAACCTAAAGACTCAGCAACCACAGTTCTCAGACTTACACATATTCTAACCTTATTTTCATATGAAACGTCGTAATAGCTTCCTTTACTGAGTTTTCCCAGGCAGGAGTGCCAGATACCTGACGTCCCCTGTCCAAGGTCACACAGCTAGTAATGGAAGAACCAGAATTTGGACACTTGCCTCCGTGCTTCCCGTGCGGATGTTACAGTTCCATTTCAATAAACCAGAGTATTTGCAGTATATGCAGTAGATAGAGCTATGGAGGATAAGATGACTGGAGAGAGGCCTCCTCCTCCAGTAACCTAACATTTGAAAGAATTGTATTATTTTTAAAAAGCATTGAGTGCCCTCTGTGTGCCCAACGTCTTGCTAGGCCCAGGGAAGGTGCAAAGCACCACGTGTTGTCCCTTCCCACATCCCAGTTCTGGGGTGCTCTGCCCCCTTTGGGTTGCAGTTTTGCCCACGTGTCAAAGGAACATAGAGAATAAACTATCCTACTACATATGTTCTCTCCCTGCCAACGTCCCTATCTTCTCCACACTTCCCAGTTCACAGTAAAATCTTTGTGAAGGCGAAACTTCCAAAAGAGTGTACTTGGATCATGATCAGGCTTGGGCATCTGGGATGGAAAGCAGCTGTCATTCCTATTTCCAGCAGTTCTTTACACATGCCAGCCTAGCTCTGAAGCTCAAACAGGCAACTTCTTTTGAAGTACTGGATCTTGTTTCTGTTAGGTCAGGAGTAGCCATTCTGGTGTTCTAGATTCCACACTCCATCCTTACCTAGAAAAGGGGCTAAAGCCTTCCTAGAATGGATGGGACTACTATTCCCTGTTACTTTCATTGATTATTCAGAATAAAGCCAAGTAAGGGGATGGGGCTGTGGGGTGGGAAGGTGCTCAGCAGAGCTTCTCTGAGGAGGGGGTTACTGGAGCAGAGCCCCGAAAGAAGAGGGGAAGGGACTTTACAGGTGGAACTATAAATGGAAAGGCCCCAAAGTAGGCAATTAATTTGAATAATACATTTCATTTAACGCAATATATCCAAAATACTACCATTTCAACATATAATCAACATTAAACATTATTAATGAGATGTTTTGCGTTCTTTTTTTCATACTAAATCTTTGAAATTAGGAGTGTATTTGACCCTTCCAGCATACCTCAGTTTGGACCAGCCACATGTCAAGTGCTCAGTCACATATGACTCAGGGCCACTGTCGTGCACAGTGCATCTGGGACAGCCCTCAGCCCCACTCCTGCACCACTTTTACCCAGCTCTGGCTTCACGATGGAGGAATTGCACGATGATCACTTGTCTCTTCATCCTGCCCCAGAAGTACTGGCCTGGCAGAACAGATAACCAGGGAAGAAAATCTTTGTACTAACTGAAGGGCACAACTCAGAAGAAAAAGAGGTCAATGATGTGATGGCATGTATTAGCTGAATCCAAAGTTGATGTAAACTGTAAAATTACACTGAGACCTTGAAAAAAAAAAAAAAAAAAAGGGCGCCTGGGTGGCTCAGTTGGTTAAGCGACTGCCTTCGGCTCAGGTCATGATCCCGGGGTGCTAGGATCGAGTCCCGCATCGGGCTCCCGGCTCAGCAGGGAGCCTGCTTCTCCCTCTGACCCTATCCCCTCTCATGCTGTTTCTCTCTCTCTCTCACTCAAATAAATAAATAAAAAATTTAAAAAAAAAGAAAAAGAACTAAACTGCTCTCATGTTAGATTGTTAGTTAATGTACTAAATCCTGATCAATTACCATACTCTTGATCTGTAATATGTTAGATATGGTTAGATGTGGTATGAAATACCTGCAATCTCTTTATTAAGAAACAAAAATAAAGTGATATATAAAACTCAGAAGTTTATTTTTATAGTTTATCAATTATGAATGTTAATTTTTCATTAGCTTATCTTACTTAGTACCTGTTTTTAATTACATATATAGTATTTGTAAATATTTGTAAGTATTAAATGCTTGAAAAGTACTATTTTTTTCTAAAATATTTTAAAGTATTGAACGATTAAGACTTTTCACCAACTCACACATAATTACCTCCTTCCCTCTTTCCAAGCCCTCCTGTACTTATTTTTTTTTTTTCCCACCTGTACTTACTTTTTTACTTAAAATGAACTTGGTAGTATAACAACTTGAAAACTCTCAATTGGGAAAGTGGTTAGGATAGTCTAGAAATTATTCCTTTTTTTTTTTTTTACAGTAATATTTTATTATTTTTTTTCTTTCAGATTTCCTCCCAGGCATAGACCCCTATGCTTCCAGGGCAAACTCCAGCATGGGGTGAGGTGCAGAAGAGAGACTTGAGGGGTGTACTCTGGCACTCAGTTACCAAACCTGCCCCCTAGATCAGGGTCTGTCTCACCACATCTGTAATGGGGAGAAATTGTATCTTTGCTTATATGCCATTTACGTATGCATGTTTGTGTTTGTGCATTTGTCTCACCTTCCTTGGGCCTGTGCCCTGGGAGGCAGGGGGTGGGTTCCCAGAAACCTGGCCTGAGAGGTGCCATGGTCCCTGGAGTCCCTCACGTGAGGTGGAACCCTCACCAGCATGTGCATTGCTCTCTTTGGCATTTGGATCAAACATTGAGTCCTGAGGGAAGGTTTGACTCACATGAGAGCAAACATTCTTTTGAACTGACAACCCAGAATAGACAGCCCAAGTATCTGGGCTGAAAGTTCCCTCTGGAAGAACTGAGAGATTCTCTCTAAAGACTGCTTTCAGGTCTGCAGAGGGGCTCCTGCCCCTGCTTGCAGCTTTTGCTTAAACCCATTCTCTGTGAATGAGATGTCTGGGATTTAAAATACTGAAGACCAAAAAAAAAAAAAAAGGAGAAAGAGAAAGTGTGTGGGAGAGGAGTGTGATAGATGAAACAGAATAGCAAAATGTAGATAGATGCTAAAGGTGAGGGAGTGATTTGTGATATTATTCTTTAGTTTTTCATATTTGAAAATGTCCATTAAAACAATACCCTCCTCCAGAAAACAGTCCCCTCTTCTTTCTCTCCCTGCCTCTGTCCCCTTTGCTCAATGTAAATTCATGTTTTCCCTCTCATTTCATCCCCGCAGGGTATAGAACATCCTGCTCCAAAGGCATGAGAAGAGAACATCCTGTATTGGCCACTCCTGCCCAGTGTGGAGAGGAGCAAAACTCCAGAGCCCACCCCTGAAGGTTTGTGGCTTTCAAGGCTTTTTTTCAATGGATCCCATTTATGGGGTGTTTTAACCAGAGCTCTGGGTATTTATGATGTTTCCATCTACCAATAAGAAAACTACTGCTAACCATTTCATTTGCTCCCTCTCCCTGACCTGTTGAGTGACACAGCCTATAACTCTTAGCAACTATATCTAATCTCCACTGAATTTAGCTGGGACCAGTCCAGTAGCCTTGAGGAGAGTAGTCAGTGATGAGGCCCACGGGAGGTTCTATACAGAAAGGCTGATCCTGCTCCCAGACCGCTACCTGGACCAACTTGTCAAGAGGATTCAGGGATAACATTTGAGATAAAGAGGATAGCAGATCAGATCCCATTCCCATAAAGGGGCTTCTCTACTACTCTGGGTTCTCAGATCCCTGGAGATAGGGCAATGAGAAAAGTCTGCAGAATATTTGCGAAGAACTTGGATGACCTGAAAATTAGGAAGGAATGCTTCTTCCTTCTCCACAGGGTTCCTGAAAATGTGAAAAGCACTTCTAGGATAATGCCATTAACTTTTAATATTATTCTTTGTGGATTGTTCATGTTCCTTTTTGTCCCTTTCCTGGGTCCTGAATTGCTTTCTCAAGGCTAGGCCAGGGAACTTTGAGGCTGTGTACTGGTGCGGAGTGATTATTAGGTACTGTCCAAAGCCAAGGTGCAATACTTTGGGGTCTCTTAGATAACCCTCCCTTGCCCAGGCCCCAGCCCTTTCTGAGACTTTTGCCCAGACTGCTGCTTCTGTTCAGGTTTATGCTTCATCCCATTGCCTTCCTTGTCCTTCCAGCTCAGATCTGGCTGGGTTCACGTTGGTGACTTAGAAAACCAGGGCCTCAGAGGAAGGTGTTGATGTGGTTTAGGCCCCGGGGGCCTTCTCATTGCCCATCCCCCCTGGGTGTTGCCTAGTGCATCTCCCAAGACCTCTGATCTAAGGACAGAAAACAGGCTGGGTACTCCTCATCCCCTGCCAAGCAGAGTTTTGGAAGCAAACTCCCTCTCTGAATCCCTCCTGCCCTTCCTGGTGGCACGAGGACC